ACAGTGGATAGAGCACTGGCCCTGGAGTCAGGGGGACTTGAGTTCAAATCTGGCCTCAGACACATAACACTTACTAGCTGTGTGATCCTGGGCAAGTCATTCAACCCCAATTGCCTCACCAAAAAAAAAAAAAGTAAGAAAGTAGCTATACAGGTCAGTAGCTGATGTGTTCCCTTAGTTGCCCTTTTTTGATATTGTTAAGGTTTGAGATATTTTCCTTACCTTTTGTATCTTCAGATATCTGGTAAATTAATCTGTCAATATCCATAATCAATTGCTTCCACCTCTAGAACAGTTCTCTTCTCTTCCTACTTCTTTTATCTTTATTGTCCTTTGTTCCAATTATATCTCTTCTGTAAGCACATCTAGTTCTGTGTTGTTATAGTTCAAATGTGGCGGTTCCACTTTTCTTCATGGTGAAAAGTTTGTTATAAACATCTCTGCAGATCTTTTCCATTTTCATCTTTCTGTTGTTTTAATTTCAGGTTTATTCCTAAGTTTCCTTGTAGTAGCTTTGCTCAGTTGCATCTGTTGTCAAACTTTCCTTAAATTGATTTACCTTTTATTGCTTCTGTGTGTTTTATGAGGCAATATTGTTCATAACCATCTTCATAAGATTTTACCAATGAGTTTACATTCTAAAGTGATGTGACCCTTGGTTGTCGTATCTTTCCACGTGGCAAGTAAGTCAAATGTTTGCTGATTCAGATTTTAAGGCCTCTTTGGGAGACTTCTTTTGAGTGTGCAACTCCCTTCTTCAGTTAGTAAGTTCCTTCCAGAGTCTCCATTTTGGGGAAGGGTCCAGACCAGGCATCCTTCATCATGTGGACTTTGTTACCGTTCCTTCCCACCACCAGTTTTTCAGTTCCTTTTTATGTGGTGTTTTTTCCCACTAGAATGAAAGCTCTTCTAGGACAGGATGTCTGGTTTTTTTTTTGGGCTTATATATGTTTTTTTAATATACAAAAGGGTGTTTGCTGCAAACAATATAGCCAGGACAAGTTACAAACATTCCCCTCCAATGCCTGGAGGCAAAATCTTCCCTATGGTATCTCAGTCCCTAGAGGAGGTGGTCTCAGTGTTAACCAAGTGTCTCCATAGCACTTGATTTCTAAGATTACTTCCAAATGTGGCAGAACCATTGGATCAATCCATGTCTCATTTGGGAGGAAGGTAGGGTCAGGCAGATTTCTCTTTGCTGATTAGCTTTAGGGAAACCTCGAGGACTCTAACTGTTCAGCTTCTAGTGGCTCACTCTCCTGACCTATTTTTAGTTTTCCTCCAATTTTGTTTTATTTTCAGTTCCAAATTCGTTCCCTCTTTCTCCCCTTCCTTCACCCATTCAGAAGGCAAGAAAACAAAGCCTGTTACAAATATGTAAAACAAAGCTCTACAGTTGGTGCTGTTGGTGTTTAGATTTGTATCTCCAGAACTTAATATAGCACATGACATGTAACAAATGCTTGTTGACTTTACTCCTTGTGATTTGCATTGATTGGACTTTTGTACGAGATAGTATAATCAGTGTCTGTTATTTCTTCCATCATATCCAATTTTCATTATCAGCACTTGATTTGACTATATCAGGATGTTGTTGTTGTTGTTATTGTGTCCTACTCTTCATGACCCTGTGGACCATAGCACTCCTGGCCCTTTTATCTTCCATTAAGTCCCAACATCTGTCCAAGCTCATGTTTGTTGCTTCCACGATATGATTTATCTATCTCGTCCTCTGCTGTCCCCTTTTCCTTTTCCCTGCAATCTTTTCCATCCTCAAAGTCTTTCCCAGTGAGTCCTGTCTTCTCATTATGTGGCCAAAATATAAGCTTCAGCTTCAATGTTTGATCTTCCAGTGAATAGTCTGAATTAATTTCTTTTAAGTATTGACTGATCTGATCTCCTTGCTGTCCAAGTGTCTCTCAAAAGTCTTCTCTAGCACTATAATTCAAAAGTGTTGATAAGGATATAGTTCTTTTAATTACATTCCATGCATTTTTTTTTCATTTTTTATTTCTTGTAGCTATGAAGTTTTGGTCTTTGCTCTAACAAGTTGATAATCTAACTGTACACAGAGTTAATTCAGGAATGACAGTCCTCCCCCTCCCCCCGCCCCCAATCAGTTAACTAGTTGTTTCTTGAACGTTAGAATATGATCAATTTCATTTTGGTGGTGCCGTTCAGTACTCCTCATGTTGTATGCCTACCAATTCTTTCTCAGAGGAAGAATTCGTGATGTAGAGGTATGGTTTATGTGTAGCGTGTAAGTCTTTGACCTCTTTTATTCTGAATTCTTATTCAGTATTTAAAAAATTTTTTTACAGTCCTCAATGACTCAGTGACTACATTGAAGTCACTTGAGTGCTGTATGTTGATTTAATTTGGAGATTCTTGTCAAGTTCTTTAGGAAATCTCTTTACCTCTTCATCTTCTTCAACATATGTTGGTGTACAGGTTGTAATTACTTCCATAATATTTTTTGCAAATATTTATCATGAGCACTGCAACATGAGATTACTAAGTGCCCTATGAAATTATGTTTCCTTTTTCCTTTGGGCACACAATTAAACCATTTCCTTTGTTTACTTCTCCAAGGAAAACCTGTGAGCCATCCTTTCATTTAGTGGCAAGTTCCTACTGTTCTCTGGTTTTATTTATAGTGAAAATGTCAAGACTGATATGATTGGTCATTGAACAACTCTTACATTAAAAATTTAAACTTATCACCTTCTGCCCCACTTTCTGCCACCATCTTTGCAGTAAAGGAAGGGGCTGCATAGAACTGAGGGCCATTTTGTATTTTTCTTTGTTTCATGGATGGCAGTGGCCAACAACGTCATCATTCACTGACCACTCTACTTGTGATAAACCTCTCAGTACTTAGCCATCCATCCTTGGAGAGAAGATTTAGTCTATTTCCAGGATTGTTCTTGAGTTTACAATAGTAGGAATTCCTACTGTGCCAACAAAGACAATGCATTTGATGTCTTCCTTTTCAGGTTAGAGTCAGTGATAAGGAGAGAAATATTTTAGTTCTCAGGAACCAATTTGACAGAGTGGCACCTGTCTTGTAGAATATAACTGGGCTCTCATTTCCTCAAGATCTGGTTGCACCGCAATATAAATGAGCTGGCTTCTCATCCATGATTATTTTGAAGTGGGTATATTTGGAGGGCAGCCTGATGTCTATTGATAAACATGTGTGTCATTCCGAGTAGGCCTGTATGTAGGCCAAGATATATGAACGAGCAGATCATTTCAAATTTACCCTGCCAGACTTTTCAGAAGTCACGCATTCACTGATGCCTTCTATGTTTGATCTAGGGGATAAAATCCAACAAAGTGTGAAAGGATGGATGTTCGAGCATGTTCAGATGCAGACTTTCCTTACCTTGACTTTGATACAAAATGATTTTCTCAAGAACTTTCCATTACTAATTGCTTTCAGCAAAGTTCAGCTCCAAAACTTAGGCTCATTCTTTACCCGGTTCTCTCTGTGGGTTCTACCTTCACTGATACAGATGGTGACCCTATTCTATTATAGTTGGCCACCTTTGTGGATTACTGAGATGACTTAGGAAGAATCAATGTGGTATAATAATATAATATAGTACAACACAGTACAATGTAACATAACATAACATAACATAACATAACATAACATAACATAACATAACATAACATAACATAACATAACATAACATGACATGACATGACATGACATGACATAATGATATAATATGATATGCTATGCCATGCTGTGATATGCCATGCTGTGATATGCCATGCTGTGATATGCCATGCTATGACATAACATAACATAACGTAATGTAACGTAACATAACATAACATAACATAACATAACATAACATAACATAACATAACATAACATAACATAACATAACGTAACGTAACGTAACGTAACGTAACGTAATGTAATGTATTGTAATATAATAATATTGGTATCACTATCTCTAACCTGAAAAGGAAGACATCAGAAGAAGACAGGGCTAGCTAGTACTCAGTAGACTTGTACTGAAGCTTACCACCTATGAACTCATTTAACCTCTCTCAGCCCTTTTTCTCATTTTTGTATCCCTACTTTCTGACTTTCTCCAACCCAACAGAAACCTACACTCCATCTTTGGGGCCTGGGCTTTCACATGTAAGCTTTTGTCTTACCTTGCCATACCTTACCTTACTGTCTCCATACAACTTTTAGGCATGTCCTTACCATCTTCTCCTTTTCAAACATCTCTTTATGGGTTGTCTTCTCCCATTATATATAAGAATGTAATGTAAGCTTCTTGAGGTCAAGGTCTTTCTTGCTTGTTTGTATTTTTAACTCAAGTACTTAGCACAATACTTGATATAAGTGCTAAATAAATGCTCTATCTATCTATCTATCTATCTATCTATCTATCTATCTATCTATCTATCTATCTACCTATCTATCTCCAGTGATACGTTAGCAAATGTTTACTATCTGGGTCTCTGGGAAAAATATGTGCCTATTAAGCATGATGTGCATTAACCTCCTCTCTTTCATACAACAATCTGTGTTAGGGGTATATGGAGTGTTCAGGGAAGATTAGCACCTCTGATGTGAGGGCTTGCTGAGCCCTTTTCAGGGCCAATGAAACACCTTTGATGTCCACCTTCATCCAACTCTCTCACCTGTGGCTCCAAGAAGCTATAGCATGCACAGGGGCCACAATCCAATAAAACATCTTGGCAGGCCAGCTAAACCAGGCTGAGGGTAACTGATGGGTCTCAAACCTATTGGTGAGTTAGGGGATGTCTACCCCAAGCATATAGAGACTTCCCCTGACGGAATGGGTGGATGAGAACAATGCGTTCCAAGAGCCATCAAGGCGGCTGAAGCAGACACAATGGAGCAAAGATACCAAGGTCACCCACTGCATCCTGGGCCATCATCGGTCATCTTGGCTTTTGTCCTGCCACTAGACTTCAATGACTCAGGAAGAGAGAATGAGGCTTACTTCATGCTGCTGTGCCTCACTTAAATCTAATTCATGCGCAAGTCGAAACTTCACCTGGAGATGTCATTGGTCCTCTTCAAAATCTAAGGAGGAAAAACAACAATAATCTGCATTATTAACATTTTCTGCCTCACTTTCCTAAGCCTAGACAATTAACGAAAACAACGAATCAAGTCCTGATTTGTAGCGTTTGCTGATTTCTGAGGTGTAAATGCTCACACTAAAAATGGAACAGTTGGTTCTGCAAGCCAGTTCCGTCTGGTTCCAACACAGCCCTGTGGCCCCCTCCCTCCCTCCTCTCCTCTCTCTTTTGTTCTTTCTCCCCATCTGTCTACTTTGTTGTTCAGTAATTCAGTCATATCCAACTCTTTGTGACCTCATAGACTAGAGCATGTCAATTCTGTCCATGGGGTTTTCTTGGCAAAGGTATTGGAGTGGTTTGCCATTTCCTTCTCCAGTAGATTAAGGCAAACAGAGGTTAAGTGACTTGCCCAGGGTCACACAGCTAGTAAGTGTCTGAGGCTGCATTTGAAATAAGGTCTTCCTGATGACAAATACAGGTGGGTGCAAAGCAGTGCCCATATGCCTTCTGGGTCATGATCTGGAATGTAAACTCAGTGTAAACCACCAAGTGTCGCTCAGAGATTGAGCTTTTAGCCATGGCTGAATTTGCCTGTTTAGATCTTTGTGCATGCTCTGGGAAAGATTGTTGGCCTCCCACTTGCTCTCCATACCCCTATTCTCATTCCTCTTGGCTCAATCCGAGGTTTAAAATGTAAGAATAATGAGTATGTAATAATTCATAAATTTATCCTAATTGGTTCATGTTCCCATTTCCAATTAATATTTTTATCCACTTTCCACTTTTGTGCAACCCAGAGGAAAACACACCTGCATTACAGAGTAGGGTACGTTTACTGACCTAATTGGTAATATAAAAGACATAGCATTGATGTTCTAAATGACTAGCGAACCACTGCTTTTAGAGATGTTCTGACTCCCAACATAGCAAGGCAACAAATATTTACAAAGTACTCACTATGCATGAGGCACAGTGCTATGTGCTAGGGATACAAATACATGCAAACCAGAGAGTTCTTGCTCTTAAGGAGCTCACATTCTAATAGGGAGGATGATGTCAAACAACTCTGTGCATATAAGTTACATGTAGATTAAATTGGAGATAATCAACAGAGTGCAGGCTCTAGTAGTCGGTGGAGTTTATAGGGGTGGGGGTGGGGGAGGAAGGACCAGGCAAGGCCTCTCGTTGAAGGTAGAGCCTGACTTGAGTCTTCAAGGAAGCCAGAAAGTGGAGGTGAAAAGGGAAAGCTTTCCAAGAATGGGGGACAGCCGGTGAAAAGTCACAAAGTCAAGAGATGGAATGTCTTATGCTAGGAGCAGCAAGGAGGCCAGGGTAGCTAGATCCTAGAGTGTGAGGAGGAGAGGAAAGCGTAAAAAGACTGGAAAGATAGGAAAGGGCTAGGTTGTGATGGACTTTAAAAGCCAAGCAGAGGATTTTCTATTTGAACTTGGGGATAACAGGAAGCCACTAAAGTTGATAACATAGGAGGGATAACATGGTCAGATGAAGGTCAGCATAGGAAGATCCCTTGGACAGCTGAATGAAAGATGGTCTGGGATGGATAGAGACTTGAAGTAGGGAGATGAACCAGCAAGATATAGTAACAGTCCAAGTATGAGGTGATAAGAGCCTGAACAGGGTAGGGGCTGTGTAAATGGAGAGGAGGGGACAGTAGAAGGTAGAAATGAAAAGACTTGGATGTGTGGGGTGAGCGTGAGTGAGGAGATGAGAATGACACTGAGGCTGCAAATTGGAGTGATTGGGAGGATGGTGGTGTTCTCTACAGTAACAGGGAATTCAGGAGGATGGGAGAGTTTAAGGAGGAAAGAGAGAGTTCTTCTTTGAACACACTGAGTTTGAGACATTTACCGGACAATCAGTCACCTAGCCTTGCCACCTTGGTATCATTCTCAATTCCTCCTTCTTATTCACGCCACACGTTCAATCAGATGGCAAGTCTTGTTATTTTTATCTCCACTATCTCTTCTATAAGGACCCTTCTTTCTACTCATAAGATCACCCCTTGAGTTCAGGCTTTTAGTGACTCTTGCCTGGACTATTAGAACAGTTTCCTAATGTTCTCCCTAACTCAAGTCCCTCCCTGTTGCAATCAATGGTCCACAGATCCACCAAAATGATTTTCCTGAAATACAAGTTTGTCTATACTACCCTCTATGCAATAAACTCCTCTAGAACCAAATATAAACTTCCCTTTAAATCTCTTCATGACCTGGCCCCTTTCTACGTCCCCAGTAGTCTTAGACATTTCTTCCTGTTTAGTCCTTCTTTACACATGATGTCCTACCTCCCATCTCTATGCCTTTGCCCTGGCTGTTCCTATGCCTAGAATAATTTATCTCCTCACTTATTCCTGGCTGCCTTTGGAACTAAGCTTAATTACCAGCTTCTGAAGGAGCTAATTGTGCATAGCAATACAATGTGATCTATCATCTATCTATCTATCTATCTATCTATCTATCTATCTATCTATCTATCTATCTAACAATTTGTTCTAGTGGCCATGAAGGTGGCTTAAGTAGGTGCTATGGAGCACTTAGAGCTTGTTCAGGCATTGAAGATGCCAAGATCACCCACTCCATCCAGGGCCATCACCAGTCATCTTGGCTTTTGTCCTGCCATTGGATTTTGATGACTTAGGAAGACAGAGTGAAGCTGATGACTTTGAGCAACTCTGCCTCACTTAAATCCAATTCACAAGCAAGTCAAGACCTCACTTTGTCATTGGCCTTCTTTGACAATGAAAGATAAACAACAACAACAACAACAACAATCTATCTATCTATCTATCTATCTATCTATCTATCTATCTATCTGTCTGTCTGTCTGTCTGTCTATCTGTCTATCTGTCTGTCTATCTATCTATAAGCCATCTATGTGTGTATATATATTTCTTTCCCACTAGAATAAAAGCTCCTTGAAGGCAGAGACTTTTATTTTTTTTCTTTGCATCTCCAGTGCTTAGCTCTATGTCTAGCACATATTAAAGACCCTTAATAAATGTTTATTATTCAGATTATATGTAGAAATTCAAGAACCAGAGGGAGAAATCATGGTGGAGACAGTATTTGAGTAAAGATCAACATAATGTCATCAGAATATATTACAGACTGTCTATACAGTATAAGGGGAAGATTGACTCATTCTAGTCAGATTACAGCAGAAAGAGGAAATAGATGAGGGGTTTAGGAAACATAGCAAAGTACTGGTACTGAGACATGATAATACAGTGCTGGGAGATAGAGGTTGATTATATGGACTTTTGTCATATCACTCTCTTTGTCAAAAGAGGCAGGTAAGTGACACAAAGAGGCAGGTAAGTGCTGGATGTGGCATCAGGAAAACCTGAGTTCAAATCTGACCTTAGATACTTATTAGCTAAGACCTTGGGCATGTCATTCTTTTAAACTGAATTTTTATATTTTATATTTTTTAATTTTTTTAATATTTTTATTTTTTCCAATTACATGTAGAAACAATTTTTAACATTCATTTAAAAAAAAATTTGAATTCCAAATTGTCTCCATCCCACTGCTCCCTGTCCCACAAGAAGGCAGGCTATTTGATATAGATTATATAAGTGCAGTCATTCAAAACATATTTCCATATTAGCCACATTGCAAAGGAAAACACAGACCCACTCCCCCCCCCAAAAAAAGAAAAAAAATAAAGTTAAAAAAAGTATGCTTTGATCTGCATTCAGATTCCATCAATCTCTGAAGGTGGATAGCATTTTTTTTTTATCATAGGTCCTTAGAAATTGTCTTGGATCACTGTATTGCTGAAAACACCTAACTCATTCACAGGTGATCATTGTATAACGTTGTTATTGTACACAACTCTCTCTTGATTCTGCTCACTTCACTTTGTATCAGTTCATATAAATCTTACCAAGTCATTTCTTATAGCACAATAGTATTCCATCATAATCCTATACCACAGCTTGTTTAACTATTCTCCAATTGATAAGCATCTTATTAATGTCCAATTCTTTGCCACCACAAAAAGAGCTGCTATAAATATTTTTGTACATATAGTTCTCTTTCTTTTTTTTTAACCTCCTTGGGATATAGACCTAGTAGTGGTATTGCTGGCTCGAAGGTTTAATAGCTTTTGGGCATAGTTCCAAATTGTTCTCCAGAATGGTTGGTTCAGTTTGCAACTCCACCAACAGTGCATTAGTGTCTCAATTTTTCCATATCCCCTTCAACATTTGTCATTTTCATTTTTTGACATATTAGCCCATCTGATATGTGTGAGGTGGTACCTCAGAGTTGTTTTAATTTGCATTTGTCTAATCAATAGTGATTTAGAGCATTTTCATACGACTATAGGTAACTTTGATTTCTTCTTCTGAAAACTGCCTGTTCATGTCCTTTGACCATTTATCAATTGGGGAATGACTTATATTCTTATACATTTGAATCAGTTCTCTATATATTTGAGAAATGAGGCCTTTATCAGAGACACTTGATGTAAACTCCACCCCTCCTCCAGTTTTCTGCTTTCCTTCTAATATTGGCGGCATTGATTTTGTTCCTGCAAAACCTTTTAATTTTAATGCAATCAAAATTATCCATTTTGTTTCCTATAATGTTCTGTATCTCTTGTTTGTCATAAATTCTTCCCTTATCCATAGATCTGAAAGGTAAACTTGGGCAAGTCATTATGGAATTACGGTTGGAATGAAGAAACTGAGACCCAGAGAAAGGAAGTGATCTGTCTAAAGTCACACTGCTTGTCAGAGGCAGAGAAGAGAACTGAGTCACAGAATCAGAGATTTACAACATCCCAGTGTATATATGCCTTCATGCTGCAGGGCCTCAGTAGGGGCAGGAGAAACCCAGGATCCCAGGGTGTGCCAAACAGCAAGAAACCTCCACCATTTCTGAAACTGGTTGCTCTCAGGCTAAAATAGCAGCAAACTCTACTTGCATCAGAATCCACAAACAAAACCAGTATCTACTAACCCCTTCTGCCATCTTGGAGGATTTTGGGTGGGTGGGTGCATCATTTTCCTCACTGGTTTTTCTCATGCTGGGTTAAAAAAAAATGAAAGAAGGTCCATGTGTGCATATACGAATTTATGCTTATGCACTCTTGAAAATTTTCTAAAGATATCAAATACACTCTCTCTCTCATTGGCTCTGGCCCCCACCTTTACTTAGGGTAATGATCAGAGGATTACAGATTA